TGTGTCGGCGTAGCCAGGAGACGGGGAAAAAATGTTTTCCACGCGTCTCGCGGTGGTTGTCCCGGGGGCTGATCCGTGGCCCAATCGAAAGTCGTACTGCAGATTTCCTCGTGGTGACCCAGGGTAATTTGATGTTGGCCGATTATGTCGAAGGCCGTCTTTCCCCAGAGGCGACGGAGGGCATCAAGGCCAAGGAGGTAGAGGGGGCCTCCAGCAGACGCGTGTGTGCCGTGACGGCAGTCCGTGGCGGCGGACTCAGGGAGTGCAGGCCCAGAGCTTTGGCTTGATGGTCCTCGCCGCATCGGGGGTGCGGTCACGGCTCTTACTGGGAAGCTTGTCATTGGGTGCGTCTTGATCGGCACACCTCGCGGACATGAGTTCCGCGAGCAAGGGACGGCTTGTTGAGGGTGTCTGGCCTCCCTGGCAGTGCTCACGAGGTATTGCCACGCACAAATCGCCCGCCTGGGACTGGCAAAGCCCAACGTCAGGGGTGGTCATGTTGACCTGTTCGGCTCTTGTTCCGGCTGCTCCGTGGCGTATCCTCTCCTCCTCCCCCTACTCTTCATACCCTTCCCGTGCCTCCCTCTCCCGTGCCTCCCTCCCCGTTCCTCCTGCCTCTCCTCCTCCGCCGCCCCATCCGCCCGCACCCCCACCCGTCTTCCCCCTCTCCCCATCTCTCCCCTTTGATCGGGTGTTGCTAGAAGTGCCCCTGGCCCAGGGTGCCCCCAGCTTTGCGCTCCAGTTTGGAGCCCCTGGGGCCCTCTGGACCCCGTGAGGGGTGCCCTGGGGGCCGTCTGGGCCACCCCGAGAATCCTGGGGGCACCCGTGGGCCAGGGGGGACTTCTGGCAGCACCCGACCCAACCTCGTGGGACGCCATCTGGGTGCCAGCGCCTATCCAGGCCGCGCCTCAAGCAGCACCCGACCTCACCCCGTGGGATGCCATCTGGGTGCCTGCGCCCATCCAGGCCGCGCCGGCCAGTCCCTGGCCCAGCGACGGACGGTGCGTATGCCTCCCTTGCCCGGCGAGGAGGGCACGCACACCAGCGGTGGCACCTTCCTGCCCTTCCACACCACCCGTGCGCCTCTGTGGGCCGTCGAACGCCGTCGGCTTCGGCGCTCCCCCAGCAGAAACCAACGTGCTTGGCTTGGCTCGAGCGAAGAAACACGCTGGCCTCGACGAAGATGTCGCGGGGTCTTGTCGACACCGATCTTGGTCATGGTCCATTCCGGCCGTCGCCGACTCGCGAGGATGATGCACGAGTTGACGTTGACGAAGATGGATGGTGACCAAGATTACCATGACGTCTCCACGTTCAGGTTGGTCATGGTCCTCGGTTTCTCCCCCTCCATTGGTGCTTCCGTGGGGAGCCAGGCAGTGCCCAGGGGGGTCGCCACTGGGGACTAGGGGGATCGCCACTTCTTTGAGGAAACCCCAGCTCCTGAAGGAAATTTGGCCCCCAGAGCACACCACAGCCCACCAGAACGACCCCAAACACCCAAAAATCGTCTTGAGCTTCGACCCTGGAGCTTCGATCCTCAGGAGGAACTGGTGAGGAGGAGGAGGAGGAGGAGGAGGAGGAGGAGGAGGAGGAGGAGGAGGAGGAGGAGGATAGGAGGGGGAGGGAGGAGGAGGGGGAGGAGGAGGAGGAGGAGGAGGAGGAGGAGGAGGAGGAGGAGGAGGAGGAGGAGATGGAGGAAATGGAGGAGGAGGAGGAAGAGGAGGAGGACCCCCCCAGTCATTACCACCCTGGGCACTCCCCGAGACAGGGGGACCGAACCGAACCTGCACTTCTCTCCGGAGGATCGAGGTTCCCGGATCCCAGCCTGAGGAGGTGTTTGGACGCTTGGGGTCGTTTTGGCGAGCTCTGGAGTGTTCTGGGGTCTCCACATACTGGAGGAGATCGAGTTTCCTCTGGGAACTGGTGACTCCCCTCAAAGTCTGGACACAATTAACGAGACAAAGTTGAAGTCGCGCCGCGTGAAGCTTGCCCTCGCCCCCCAGAGTTGAAGCCAGCGCATCGACGTGCGCGGGCGGTGAAGCAACAAGCCAAGAGCCCAGCGCGCCCGTAAATTGAAGCGACAGCTCAACAGAAAATACCCCAATACGCCTCTCAAGTTTGCAGAGACCGCCCGAACAACGACGCATCGTCTAAAGCCACTGGGCGGCGTCGCGTGAAGCGCGACCGGACTTCTAGTGGCGTCCCCCCCCCCTTGGCACTCCCCGAGAATGCACGGTTTCCCTGGGGCCGTAGGCGACCCGAGGAGGAGGAGATGGAGGAGGAGGAGGAGGAGGAGGAGGAGGCATGAGGCACAGTGATGAGGAGTAGGAGGTGGGGGAGGAGGAGGAGTTGGAGGACGGACCAGGGGGAGGGGAGGAGGAGGAGGGAGGCGGAGGAGGAGGAGAGACGAGGAGGGGAGGAGGAGGAGGAGGAGGAGGAGGGGTCGCCTAAGCCCTTCGGAGAAACCCGAGGGCGGAGCCGAACCGAGTCTGCGCCCCAGGAGCCCCGCGAGCTCGCCGGCGGGCTCCGCGGCTGGCCTGGCCGTCAAGGCGCCGCGGCAGCCGGCGGGCCCCCCGACGGCGGGCGCCAGCACCTGGCCAGCGGAGGTGGGGGCTCCGAAGGGCTTAGGCTGGCTTAGGCGACCCCTCCTCCTCCTCCTCCTCCTCCTCCTCTCCTCCTTCTCCTCCTTTCCTCCTCCTCCTCCTCCTCCTCCTCCTCCTCCTCCTCCTCCTCCTCCTCCTCCTCCTCCTTCCGTAGCCATTTTGGCTCAAACCATTTTGGCTCAAGGCAATGGACCATCCCGACGACCGCGAGTCTCTCGGGGCGTCATCTGAGCGCGAGGGGGGTTCTGCTTTGAGGCCACTCTCCAAATCAGTCTCTTTGTGTCTAGCTATCCTTCTGTGCATTCACTGCGGGAGTTAGGCCCCCGCCTCTTCGTCCTCTCTCGCGATGGCCGTTGCCTCCGACGTGCCTGCTGGTGTGGCGATGATGACGCTCGACGATGAAGATGAGCATCGTGGCAAGATGCCTCGGCTCATGGAGCCGCAGGGCGAGGGCAACGGCAACGGCGCCCCCACAGACCCGCTCGTGCAGCTCTTGAATGCGGTCAACTACATCAGGCGAGACATGGTCACCCGCGAAGATCTTCGCACCAACCTCCAAGACAGGAAGGCGCAGATTCAATCGCAGGCCGAAAACATTGCAGTCTTAGACACTCGAATGTCGAAGCTCGAGCAGGACACCAAGGCCTCATACGACGTAGTACAGAAGCTTGCGACGGCCAACATGGACGAGAAGCTCCAGAGCATGGCGCAGAAGTACGACGACAAGCTCAAGGAGCTCGAGGCGGCTACGCGGCGGTCTGCTGCCTCAGTCGTTGCTGCGAGCTCTTCTTCGGCCAGTCATGCCCCCGGCGCCCAACAGACGATTTTGATGTCAAAGGGTTGGCGCGGGAAGGTCGCTTTGCATGCGTGCGAAGCGCGCTCAACTAAACGTCTTGAATGCGGCGTCCCGCAAGACGCGGGCGTCTACGCACTCGTGTCGACTATTCGTTGAGATCGTCGGCAGGCGCCCCGTTCGGGCCACTTGCACCCTGTATAGGGCAAGGGCGCGGGGACCAACGGGAGGGGCCCAGCCCCCCCCCCCCCATTCCATCTGAGGCTGTTGCGCATGTAGCTCAGTGGTGCTTTGAAGTTTGACATCTGATAGGTTTACAACTTGGAGATTATCTCATGCACGCGTGGCTCCGAGGGCGAGCATTTGAACCTACGACGCTTGGAATCCAGAAACCGTCGGACGTCGTCACATTTTCGGAGATATAGTATGTGCCTGGGCCAATTGAGCAAATTGATGGCGCTTCAATTGCAGAATGACACACTTCGAATGCTTTGAAGCGTCCATCGCTTTCTAAAAAGACAAACGTTGAAACTTGTTACAGCCACAAAACCGTTTCAACAGTTTACGATGTTGACGTCATGTAAAAATGAAGCGTGGAGGTTTCATATTGTTTGGAGTTTGAGCGCTTGAACATTGAACAATTTCTACGCGGAGTAGAAAGAAACAGGAACAACCGACGAGAGCTTGCATGTATAATGATTGTTGTAAGTTTTGAAACAGGGGGCGCTCGCGACTTGGTCAATCGTCTTTTCCCGACAGCAGGTAGGCTCACATATGTTCGTGAAGTTGTCGTTGCGGTCAGAGAGCGTCTACAAGAGCGGAAAAGAGGGACCTTGGTAAAATACAATGACTGCGCAGTAACATCCGTTGTTTGTTCGACCAAGAGTGCTCGCGCAAGTTCAATCATGGTTTCTGGATGCGCGCGGGCGGCGAAAAGGGGTGGGAGGGGAAAGTGTACCATTAATCCGTAGTTGCGCTGCGGCTACCTCGTGCGTTTTGAAACTAGAGAATTCGCCTTCAGGCGTTCGAACAGATGTTCGTTTGGGGTTTGGCAGGGCAAAGGAGGGGGAGCAGGAACGGCTGGCGAGAAAACGCGACTATGCCGCAACGGTTCGTCATGTGCGCAGATCGCGGTCATGGTCCTTCTCCCTCTGCCGATCGCAGGGGCCCCCCATGAACCTCTCCGTGACCCGCGCGGGCCCCCAGGTGCTTCGTCATCCTTCCCCGCGTGTCTCCAGCAACGATCTTCCAGAAGTGCCCTTGGGATTCAACAACCTGGAGGGCATATGTGGTTTCTCCACTGAGGGGGATCTGCTTTTGCGCCCAGTCCTCGGGGGACGGGCTATCTGACGACAAACATTGGCACGACGACGCCGACGAGCGTTGCAACGACGATTACGAGCGGCGCGGCGACGACGGCAACGGGTGTCTCGGCGACGACGGGCACGAGCATTGCGATTGCAACGGCGACGACGGTGATGACGACATTGACGAACATTCGGCGGCGGTGGCGACGAGTGCTGCGACGGCGACGGCGACGAACCTTGCGACGACGAAGACGAACGTTACGACGGCGACGGCAGCGACGAGCGTTGCCGAGACGATGGCGAGCGCGACGACGACCACGGCCACGCGGAGAGTCGCGATGACGACGCCATTTAGCTCCACGACGACGACGACGAGCGTCACGGCGACGCCAGCAACAAACGTTGCGACCGCAACGCCGACGGGCGTTACGACGACGACGACGACGAGTGCTACGGCGACCAATGTGGCGACTGCCGCGAGGGCGATGGCGAGCGTTGTGACGACGGCGGAGAGCGCTCCAACGACAAGAGCAACGGGCGTTACGATGATGACGAACGTTACGGCGGCGACGACGGCCACGGTCTCTTGGTGCGTTGAATGGCGGCTGTGGTGCAGCGGCGCAGTCGTTTTGGGAGTTTTCGCCGACGGCATGATTTAGCGGGGGGTTTTCGGAGGAGGAACGGTTGGCGGAAGAGGGATGAGGACGAACATGTGTTGATGGTGGTGCTTCAGAGTTCCCGGTGCCTTCCCCTGATAAGCACAAAAACCAACGACGATTTTGCACACGATTTTGCAATGCGATTTTTCGGGGCGAATTGCTTGAGACATCTCGACACAAATACTGTTGGCCAATATTGTATACGAAATCGTGTTGGATCGGGTACCAGATTGTAACACAAATCGTTCTCTCTGTGTCCAGGCTCTCCTTTCAAAATCGCGGTGGCGGTTCGCGGGCCCCGCATTCAAAATCGCAAGGGCGGGTCTTGAAAATCGTAGCCAAAATCGTTGTGGGGGAGTTTGAAAATCGCAGGGGCGGATGTTCAAAATCGTAGACAAAATCGTCGGAGCGGAGGTTGAAAATCGTCGTAGAGGTCATGGTGGAAGGCCACGCCTGCCTGGCCTTACGGCTTGGAAGGTTTGGCCTCAAGCACCTTGCCTCGAGGCCGGAGTTTTCGCTTGAAGTGTCCGGCCTCGCGGCCGGGGCAGTTCAGCCCCACGGCCTTATCTTGTCATGGAGCGGTCAGTCTATGTATATAGTGCCGTTGGCGGCGAGGCAGCTCCAGGGCCCGGGAGGCCCCGAGACACGCCCTCGTGGGCCTTAAACGTTCCTAGAGTCCCCCCACGCTAGAGGACTTGAAACGGACGTCTGAGATACTCTACCGCGGGGGCCCCAAGAGGGCGCCAGGAGCGCCACAAGACAGCTCCAGGATGGCCATAAGATGGCCACAAGAGAGCTCCAAGAGGGCCCCAGAGGCCCCAAGAGGGCCCCAAGGGGGCCTCGAAGGGCCCCCCAAAGCAGTGAAAGTGAAGTCACGCGAGCGCTCTTTCGCGCGACTGAACTGCCCCTCACCTTGGGGGCCCTCTGGGGCTTTTTTCTGAACCCCCACGGGCAACCCCCACGGGCAATCCTAGCGGCCCCAGAAATGCGAATAAGAACCCCAAGGAGGATACCAACAGGCCCCCAAGAGGAATGAAACTTATGTCACGCGAAAGGGCGCTCGCGCGTCTTCACTTTCACTGCCCCGGGTGGCCCTTCGGAGCCCGCTTAGAGCCCTATTGGGCCTGAGGGTTATCCGGCCTTGTGCGCCACAATCATGCGGCAGCTTTCTGGTGATACGCGCAAGCGCCTCGCAATCGCGACGCGATTCCAAGGAAATGCGAAGTTCCGCTGCCCATGCGCGAGCACTGCGATCGCGCGAAACAGTCTCCTCAAACAGTGCTGGCACTTTCTGCATTGCATGTTTCTGATATGCGCAGTAGAACAATGAAACCAGATTTCGATACATGCGCAGATAGCGTTAAAACAACAAGCTTCGACCCCCGACCGCTCCAACACGCAAGCAGCTCTAGTGAGGTAAGCCCCAGGCGGTCCTGAAGAAGGCTTCGGAGGGCCCCCCCTGGGGCCTCGCCGAGTCCCCATCACACAGACCTAGAGAGCCCAAGAGAGCTTCAAGAGAGCCCGAGAGATCCCCAATACGCCTTCCCACCGTCCCTCCCTTGCCTCCCAGTCTCCTCTCCTTGGCTCCCTCCGCCCCTTTCCGGCGCCTTCCTCCCGTCCTCTTCGCCCTCGTTCTTTATGCTCCCACTTGCTTCCCCTGCGGAGGATGGGGGTGGGAGGAGGGCGGGGGCAACTGTAACCGGTCTTCCCGCCGACGCGGAGCATGTGCAGGCAATTCCCGTGGTTGGGGCGCTCCTGGCTGGCGATCGCCCTCGTCGTCTTCCGCTTTGCCCGTGCTCTTTGCATACTACGCGAACATGCCGAAACAATATCTGTATAGCTTCAACCGAGCAGCGAAACCAGTTAGGAGAAACTGCAGGTCCAGTCGCCCACGCAGGTTCGACTCGATGATTCGATTTGTTTAAATCGAATATTTTATGTGCGCGGCGGCGGTGTTAAGGTGCGTGTTAATTCGTTGCTTAGGGCGTTGACCCCAGGGCGCGTGCAAATCGTCCGTTCCTCTTAGGAGCTCGCCAGAATGTTATCTGACCTCTTCGGCCCCACCTCGCGGCGGTCAGCGTCGCCCCCCCTTTCTCCGCCAACCCTGGCTGCGCCCATTTCTCCCGCGGTGTCTCTTCCGACCGTGCTCGCGTCATCGCCTCTGATCTGGGGCCACGAAGTGTTTTA